CCAACTTTCGTTTTTTTTTGTTTGTAAATGTGATCGTTTACTTGTATCACTATCGGTAATATGTGGAATAAATTTCATTCATTTCCGACAATTCCTTCATGGTGTTGCATTTTTCACAAACATTAGTGTGTCTACAGCTTCCAGTGCCTGTTCAGCATCCTCTCGTATGTTACTGAAGATAAATGACTAACTGAAGACAATTTTTAATCTCTATTGAAATGCCCGTAATGATTCATTGCTAAGCACAGAATCTTAAATAACACTTGTCACTCCTAGCAATGCCTCATTCTGCCTCTAGTCCATCATCAGAAAACTCCATCAACCTGCTGTGGAGGAAGCTCCACGTTTATAAAATCATTGCCGTCATCTTCAAAGGCAGAATTACAGAGGTTCTGGGAATCCCATATTATCTTTAAATTCTTTCAAAGCTTTTCTCAAGCCTTTTCTTGTACAATGCAATCATAAAATGCTTGTTGAAATTCTATTCAGTATCAACTGTAATCTCCAAATGCGGCTTTATGAATTTGTGTCCATCATCTATACAAATTACACTGACAAAAACAAAACAAAAAAAAAAAAAAAGCATTATCTAATTTTTAAAATCGCATTATCTTTCGGCTATGCCGAACTGGATGACGAAAGGGGCAATTCTCAAAACCCGCACATTTCCAGGAAACCCATGTAGCTAGGTTACCATTTTCACTTACTACAAAGACAACGCCAAACAATAATCGATTATCGCTCAGATTGGGACCACATGATCCTTCAGAAGCAGAACTTTCATCTGATTGGTTCATTTCTACCCGGGACAGAGTTTCAGCTGAGACATTTTTGGCGAGGTTTGAAGAACTATCACATAGCCGCTACATTGTTTCTGTAGCTAGGTGGGATTCTTTTTTTTCTAAGAATCCTCCCATTTAAAAACAGTGCTACCAAAAATCTTGTTTCTCAGGAAAGTCCCGTCTAGCAGGGACTGTTGCTAGAAGTAAATAACGTAATAACACTTTAATCAACACTCACTAATAATATAGTAAAATCACAATGACCAAAATTAGCCTCAATCCACTATGTCTAATCCGTTTTCAAAACACATGTTTCGCTTTTGTGATAAGAGGAGAGTGGAATGTGGAAATGAACATGAGCTCAGCATAAGAGCGTATAGGTAGTGATCACTTTAGGTTTTCTACAAATGACATTCAGTGGATGAGTTGAATGTTGCCTTTTTTTCCCTCCGAGATAGCTAGATGGTGTTACTAGGTGGCTTAAAGTACAGTCAAAAGTCTTTAATCCGGAACCTACAAAGCTACAAACTTTCTGCATATGCTTAAACGCATGCGCATATGCATTTAATGTATAATGGACGGTATAAGCTAAGCTAAAATTATCTATTTCAGTTAATGTTGCAGATCGCGTTGTTCCTTAATCTTCTAATTGGATCCGGCTTATTATTTTTTGCAGACTGTTAGAGCAATTTTATAAAAAGTAAGCTTGAACTTTCGATTATGTCGAAAAGAGTTTCCGATTCTGGAGATATCAAAGGATTTACAAGCGAAAGCATGTTTTGATGTCCATCAAACAAAAAGTGGAATTGCTGCAAAAAATGGTTAAAGGCATGAAGAAAGTGACAGAGAGGTGATTTGTTTCTCTAACCATTCCGAAATCTGTTTATCAATTTCGCGCTGCTCTGCGGGAAGGGGGGGGGGTACGTCGCAGCGCGCAATGAACTGGAAGTTGATCTGTCAGCACTATCCTCATCTTCAGGGCAGATGTTTTTATTTTATTCGGCTTATAATTCCTCACTAAATGTAGTATTTCATCTCGATGTACTCCGTCTTTGATATGATTTAAATCAAATTCATCATTATAAATATCACGAATACACATGAAATAGTTTTCTGGTTGCAATTTTCTAATTTCGACTATGCGTAATGTATGCTTTACGCATGCGCACTTTGAAAGAAAAGTTTAATAAAGTAAACAAATAAATATTAAACTTTTTTTTGTAAATTTTGATACCCTTTAGATCATAATTGCTCTTTATTTCATATTTTTAATTTTATAATTTCTGCATGCCATCTTAAAAGATTTAAACTGATGAGCTATAATACAAAAAAACCGATAATCCGAAATCGCCGAAGAGTCCAAATTAAAGACTTTTGACTGTTTACGATAACCAAATGAGCACCACAGCATTTAATGGGTTAATATATGACATAATTACACAGATTGGAATTTGCTAGCAAGTTTGCCCTTGAAACAGAAAGAAAATTAAAAATCCTGCTCCAGAGGACATTCCAGCTGGCAACTTTATGAAATTTATATACTACTGTTATGAAATAATTTGATCCAGTTTTGTGAAATTAACAAAATATATGGCATTAATGAACTATACAATCATCTGATGCATATTTTAACTCTGAATGTCGAAACAGAATAGGGATTTTTTTTTTTTTTTGCACTGTGGTTGATTCTTACCTTTAGTCATAAAGATGATGATCTCTTATTACGATGCATGTTGCTTTATCCAAGACCTGCCAATGATGAATTACTATATTCCCCCCCCCCACTTTACAGTGCTGAAATTTATTAAAAATATTTCCCCTCATTTTCCACTTTTTTCAATACATTATTAGAACGAGCTTTCCTATAGTTTAAAATGTATTTGTTGATGTGGTAATCATTGTCTTACTTACAAAGACAAAAATCCCATAAATACATACAAAGGTTACATTGAACCTTTCTTCTTCTTGTAATTTTTTACCTTAATGCCAACTTAACACAAGAACTGTTGAAACACAGTGAAGCAAACACAACTGACATTCATTCTATGATTTCAGCTGCATACTCAACTTCTCGCCTACGACTCTGCAGTTGTGCAATTCTAAGATGTTTCTTCAAGTAAAAAATTGGTCGATGTGTACATGGATACCGAGGATGTGTAATTCTTAAAAATGCGCCAAGCAGTGGGATTTCTTCATTGTTTTTTCTTGAAGTCCTGTTTTAGATATTTTTGCATGTTTACAGAATTAATTCAAATTTGTAACCGGCGATATGATGAGCACGAAAACAATCGATTTGGCAATTTTTTTAAAACTCACCAATCTGGACCATAATATCTAGTTTTACCATATTGCTGTTGTGAAAAGACATGTTTGAAGATGAGTACAAGTTTAACAATTTAAAAATACTGTAATCCTAAAAACAAATCATATGGACCATGGCAGACAAAAAAATAAGAAAGGCACTGCAAAAGCATATGGTTAGACATGGCCAGAATCTCATAAAAAATAGCACACATTAGCTTCCTTGGCAAAAACATACTTTGGCTCAACTTCGATGTTAATGTTTCTGGTTAAGTAGAAGCAACATTAAAACTGGTTTGCAGTAAATGCTGCCAAATGAACACATAACTGAAATATTTGCTGATATTAAGAAAAATATTAATTTGTTCAGCTAGACATTTAGCACCAATGCTCATCCAATAACAACAACAAAATTATAAATTTGTTCACAGAATGTAATAAGAAATTTGTGTAAATAAGTACGTAAGCAGCAGTAGCAACAACAACAACAACAACAACAAAAAAAAAAAAAAAAAAAAAAAAAAAAAAAAGGCACATCAATATCACTGCCACACCATACAATTACGTTTGAATAAGAAAATAGAGTTATGCGCACAGCATTGAAAGAATACCTTTGAAGTACACCATATTCATTTCTTACCCTGAATCGAGCAGAACCATGTAATTATTTAATCTGCAACTACATTCTGAAATTTAATAATACACACAAATTATATACATTTAATACACATTTTGTACTGAAATTAAATAATTACAAATATAGTTTTTACTAACCTATACATGCAGAAATTCAGGAAAAAAAGATCGCCAGATCGCATTCACCAGTTTGCTTTAAAAAAATGAATTAACATAAATAATTACAATTGAAAACCTATTCATTTAAGCAATAATGGATTATAAATTTTAATTTTACCTTACAATCAAGAATGAGAATAGCCGCATCACACCCACACCACGCTGCATACAGGCAAGAGAACATTAACTGGGCTTAATAACAAAACCCCATCACAGCAAAAGCTACTGCTTCTTGCTGCAATTTTTAATTTCGCTACAAATAACAGAATAATACTAGAATTGCTTACAATAAATGTACATAGAATGTTAGGCTTTTGGTATTAATATTACACGCTCTAGCTCGGCTGAAGTTAATATGTTAATGTTTCTGGCTAAGCATGTTCAACTAGATGCATTATTAAAGCTGAACGTATGGAAAGTGGAGCGCAGATAACCAAAATATTTGCTCGGCCAGATATTTAACATTACTATTAATACGATATCAAAGAGAACATGAAAAAATGAGTATATTTGTTCAAAAGAACACAGAAATACAAGAATATATTACATTTCGCAGTATTTAATAATAAATATGGGTGAATAAGTACATAAACACCACGAATTTTTTTCTTCCTTTTAACTGCACACACAAACCAATAAACTATATACAATTCATAAATAATTTTGTATTCAAAGTTAATTAAATATTTACAAAATCAAAAATAATTCTTACCTATACATTCAGCAGAAAACGAATTATGCCTATAATTGCGGTCTGTGCAAGAAAAAAAATAATATTGATTAAAATTAATCAAAAAGACAATTAAATTTAAAAAAAGACTATTCATTTAAGTGGAAAAAGCATTAGAATTTTAATTTATTTGAATTTCAACTTAAAATTTGGAACAATAGATATCACTCGTATACTCACCACACCATCCGACCACGTTCGAGAACAAAATGGCGCTCGATTCGCATGGCACATTGGAGGCATGTTCATGCGCAGATGGTCTCTGCGCAACCAGTCGTACGTTTAGCATTTTTACCATGTTAGAGCTAGCCGTCCGACGTCGTACGGGTAGACACTTCCAGACGGGCTTTGAAACTCGTAATCGATAAACCGGCCATTCCCCTATCGTTGACACAAGTCTTTCTATCGATGGGAAAAGGAGACTCTAGGCCATCCGAAAAAGCGTGGAATCGTTTTCGCAGTTTTTCAGTTCTGGTGTTTGCAGGATTTAATGCAGACATTTTGGCAAATAAATAAAATGCGTTTATTCTAATAGGGGAATACTTACGGACTGAATTCTGCTCATATTACGTGTACATTTTTTTAAAAAAAGTAAATAACTTCGAAATTTTGATAGCAAGAACTAGTTCCGAAGTAGTTTGAAAATCACGATTTGGTTTTTCATATAGACCTAAAAAATCTTTCAAGACGCCATGGAAGTAAAAACGTACGAGAGGAATTTCCTTCTAGAATTGCGACATAATCCTTTATCACTAAAGATGCCACTTCTGCCATATATATCATTTATTCAAAGAAAGGTAATAATAAAGCAGACTTTTAAAAATTTTTATAGAAAAATATTCGTAATGGAATTTTAAACCCTGCCAGAAGCATTCTATATAAAATGTGAAGTTTTAAACCACAGAAAAGGCTACACAGTACGCTAATGATTACTAAGATGGAGGGACAGATTGATTATTAATAAAATAAAGACCAAGGATTACATTAATAATATAAATAATGTTAATTTGGAACAGCTTGAGTATAGGACCCCATCGGCGATTTTTTGGCTTGGCCAAGCCATGGAAAAGCCGTTAAAATTGAAAATACAAGTTAGAAAGCACGTTTTAACCAGAAACAATTTTAGAATATATGTTTAAACAGCAAATTTGAAGGTACATAAGTAAGTAGGGGCATATTTTAAAATATATTGGCAAGTTAAATTGTAAATTTATTATATTTCATTGCATATTGTAAAAGCAGTTAAAATTGAAAATAGATGTTAGAATGCACATTTTAACAAGAAAAATTTTAAATACAAATTTAGAATATATATTTAAACAGTGAAACTATAAATAAATAAATGGAGGGATATTTTTAGCAGTCATACTGAAAATACAAATTACAAGCTGTAAAATTGAAAATAGGAGCTCAGAATACATGTTTAAATTAAAAATATGAAAACAAAAGTTAAGAATGCATGTTTAAATTAAAAGTAAAGAAAAGTTTGAAAATACACAAGTCCATGGAGGCATAATTTAAGCAGCAATATTGAAAATGCAAGTTTTAAGTTATAAAACTGAAAACAGGAGTTCAGAATAAATGTTTAAATTAAAAATAAAAGAAATGCTGGAAATTTAGTAAAGTTTACAAAATCATGGTAAATTTACAAAGAAATCCTATAGTACTCTTCCTACTTACTAAAGTGCCCCTTACAATTTCTAGAAATTTGTTAAATACATCAATATTTTGCTCCTTCGAAGAAAATTACACTTTCCAGTTTAAAACACACGGGAATGTGACAGGGTTGCCGAAGTGGAGTATTCTAGAATTTACTGGGTTACCAGTAAAGTAACTGTCCAAAAAGTGCGCCAAGCCAAAAATCACCAATGGGGTCCTATACTCAAGCTGTACCGTTAATTTTAATAGCGTATCAATTGCTGAATCAAATAAGGGTTCTAAAGCCTTGTGCTGTTATGTGGATTTGACTCTTGGCACCAAACAAGCGTGCTGCTTAGGATTTTATCATAAGCAGCACACTTGTATTTTTTATCAAGTAACCTTCATATGCTTTGCCAATCAATAATCAATACTTTTTCTATTATGCACCTGTCACACATTTTGTTGCCTGTGAAAGAGGAGTCAAACACATGCCTAGACCCAAGAATAGCAGCATCATTAAGTGTGTGGCATTTATTAGTAGTTGTAAACAATTTCTATTATATGAATTTGTCAACACCTACTCATACTGGAAGTTGCCTAAATTAAAAATCCCATCAAAATGTGTGGTAGGTGGATAAGGGAAAAGTAACCCAATAATCTAACCTAGTTTTAATAGTTTAAATTTTAACTTAAATACAAATAATACCAAGGAACAGCTTTAGTATTGGTTTTTTGGCGATTTTTTGATTTGGTCACAAACTTCGGTCGCCAAGGTAGACCCGGTTTTGAAAATCGGAAAAAAATGGCGGATTGTCAACAAAACCCGATCTAGACTAAATAACAATCTTCAAAAATAAGCGCTTAATTAGAATAAACAGTCTTTCTCTAATTTTCAACATTTCTAGTACTGCTATGATAAATTCTTAAAACACTACTGTAAATGAATTTATGGCAGTGATTATGTTATGATAGATGAAATTTACAAAAGGTTAATATATTAAATTACAAATTTAATATTAATGTATTAAATATTAATTTTAAGTAAATTAGTTAATATTTCTATTATATTATATAGTATTTAGCTAATATTTTAAATTTACAAAAGGTTAATTTTTATGTTAAAAGGCAAGTTATGAATAATGAAATTTACAAAAGGTTAATAAATGCATTTCAAACTAGTATATGTTAGACTAGAAGAGAAACACGCTAATGTCACAATCAAAATCGTAAAAAACAACCTTATATTTAGCGTAGGTATAATGAAATTCACCCTTCGATTCTAAAAGATTGCGTTTCTGTCTTGAATTCTTGGGGAATTTATAGTATATCATGTCAGTGTGGTTTAAGATATATTGGCCAAACAAAAAGAGCGTTGAAGTTTCGTATCAAGAAACATGAATCTTATGTCAAAAAAGGGGAAATTAACAAGTCTTCAATAGCGTATCATAGCTGGACTTTTAACCATAATTTTGATTTTGGGTCTGCAAAAATCATCCAAAAGGCTTCTTCCATAGGCGAATTGGATTTTCTTGAGGCTTTTCACATTCACAAGATTTAGAAAGTTTAGTTAATGATTTGAAGTCCAATCCAGTCCTTCCTAATGCCTTTAAAATTCTACTGTCTTAATTCAATTATTTTGCCGATAGATGGCGTTACCTCCTCGCACTTGGTACACCAGAGGGTATAAAAATCCGTTCAGTGGTTGCTTTCCATTATTTGAAGTTCAGATTTTGAGCGTAATGTGCATTTGCCCCTCGCTCCCTATTTTAACTTCGCTAATATTTCTTTATGCTTGATCAGACAGCCTGGCTCAGTAAAAGTAGGCGGCCAGTGCAACTCTGATTAAAAATCTAGTTATAACCACGTGCAGTATGATAAGCACCACGTGTTTCTGTGATTCCTATTTCTTCTTTCTATGTATTCTTTCTCCTGATGAGGAGGAACCTTTAGCTGCCCTCGAAATCGATTGAGTGTTTCATTATACCTACGCTAAATATAAGGTTGTTTTTTACGATTTTGATAGTATATGTTACTTTAGTTTTTTAGATTCTGTTATTAAAACAAAATAAAAAAATATTTCAAAATGAAGGAAATCAAATTAAATTATGACGAGTAAATTTTTTACCAGTGTTAGAAATACTTTATGATTAAATTTTGTAAATGGTAAAAATATTAAGAAGTGTGTATATTTTAATCACTCAACTTATTACAAGTAATTTATGATTATAATTTAAAAGCTAAAATTAAATTAACATAATGAGTAAATTTTGTACCAATGGTAATCATAAACAACAACAATAATCATAACTGATGATTTCTGTGAGAGATTCGAACAGTCATTGGAATCCACTAGTGGTGAAGTGATAAGCCACTAATCAGTAGTTCAGGCTGGCTATATGGGAGTTTTTGTGTTTTTCCTTACATGCAATGTGAATCTGAGCCAGTTGCTCTTAAAATGTCCTTTATGAAGGCATCCTTCTGCTAGCCAGCATATAGATTTATTTTTATTCGTAAATACTGTTCTCTCTTCTTATTTCTTAATTCTAAATCTTACTTCTGAAGTGAAGAAATGTTGCATCTATAGGTCGAAAAATATGGTCTATATGTTTGCAAAATCCTGTTCAGTTTTGGACAGCATTTAAATAAAATAAATAATTTGACATGATGCAAACAAAAATGCATTACACTATTTCATGTAGTGAATAATTAATCAGGGAACAAAGTATAATGTATGTCTTTTATTTTGTAACCACAGTTTTTTAATGTTTGGGATCTTTACTTCCCATCCGTTTTCCCACCAAAATCCAAATGAAGTTTTAATTGTAAAATAAACTGTGCTTGCCTTAGAGACATGTTACTGGTGCTAGATAAGATAAGATTTTAGTCTCAGTCCTGCATTATAATTGCTGATAATTTAATTCATGCCGGTTAAGTTTGAACCAACTTTGCATCATCAAATTGATTTATCTAGCCTTTGGCTACAAATTTATTTGAATTTAAATTTTACATTGGAACTTAATTGTTATCAGAAGTTATCTTGCCACAAGTGGTTGACTGTAAGCCACAAAGTGTAACCTTCTGTTCAGACATTAAATTTTTTAATAGAATAAGAGTATATCTTAATAGAAGAATATATCTAAACTTATAATAATTACATTAAAGACATTGAAATCAGTATCTAAGTGCTTGCCATGTAGTGTATTCAAATTTTTATATATAAATTATACTCTTACTTTTAGTATATAATTTTTATTACAAAAAAATCAGATTTCTGTTAAATTAAATGTTTAAGTAATGTAGAAAATTTGCATAAAATTTAAAATAAAAAGTCGACTATTATGTCAACATACTAGTATTAATAAAAGTAATAATACTCAGTGAAGGTGCTATTAAATTGTGAGATTTATAAAAATTGAGAACTGGTTTATTATAAGCAATAAACCATAATCTAAGCAACATTATATTTTTTATAGTCGGACAAATTATAAAAATGTTATAAAAGCAATAATGAAACCTAATTTTGGTCTACGAATTCATGCAATTACACATCCTTATAGTTCTAATTTAAGAAATGAGGCAAAAAATTATTTTTAGACCATGGTAATTTTGATCATTGCTCATTTTAAGAAACATCTAAGAAGTCTAAATTTGCATGTGGTTCCTTAGCAAAGGAAACACCAAGAGTTTACCTCATGCTATTTAAAAAGTGTTTTTTTTTTTCTTTGAGGGGAGAGATGGAGTTTATAATACGCAGAGTTGACATATGAAAAAATGTCAAGACTCATGTAATGTAATATTAAAAAGCAACAGTTTTAACTATAAAATTTTGGTTCTTTTAAAAAATATTTTAAATTTTGTGCTTTACTAACATGAAAGTAACTTTAAGAAAAACATGCAATTTATCCCTCCTGCTATCAAAGCTCTGATACCTACCAAATTCGTTAAAGTTACGTGGACAGAAATGGCGACATGTATTTCGGCTCAGTATTTAGGGTTACTATAAATAACAAGGTTATCATAATTTTTCATTTATCGCTCCAAAATGTCGCCAAAAAGGACTAAAGCTGTGCCAATACCAGCATTGTGGTCTTAATTAAACATGAATGCACCTTAATTCTGAAAATCTTTAATTAATCTAGTTAAATTTTAATAAGGA